GCGCGTGGAACTCTTTCCCGAACCTGTAGTGTGTCGTCGTTCTTCTAGCACGCGAGGCGGGATACTCAGGGATTCTCGGGGTCCTGCGGGGTCTGGCGATCGCAGTGTGCAGGGTTGGAAGACGGGAGTTCTTCTTAAAATCCAACAACCCCAACCTGTCGGGTGAAGAATCAGATTCAAAACCGATACGGATTTTGACGATTCTCAACTCTCCAGGGCTCCCGCGGACGTCCTGGGGGCATCTGCGAGCCATATTTCAGCAATCTGCGGTCATCTTGGGACTCTCTTGGGAGCCTCGAGGGAGTCCTCCGAGCCTTATGGGTCAGCTTGCGGGGCACGTGGACTAAATTTGACGCCTCGTCGGGCTCTCTTGGGGGCCTGTCCGGGTCCAGGGGTCAACACTGCTTGCCACCCTCGCGCGCGCTTCACCCGGAACCTTAGCACCGACGACGTCGGGTTCGAACTTCGCCTTCCACATCTCGCTGAGCAGCGCCAAGGCCCGCGCTCAATTCTGAACATGGGCGAGACGCCTCGCGGAACAAATGCAGAGCGCGGATCCATTGTTTCGTCTTCCCGCAACTCCCCGTGGCCGCTTCAAGGGTGGAGCCGCCTGGTCGTGATACTCGCCGGATGTCAAGCATCCGACGGAGATCACGACCAAGCGGGCGACCCAGACCTTGAACCGAACTGGCTGGAGCCAGAGCTGATCTTCGATGAGCAGAGACCTCTTCCGCTCCACAGTGCACGGCAAGGCCAGCGCAAGACAGGGAGGACGGGGGAAGCAGAGGAGCGTCAGGATGGAGACGAGAGGAATGAAGACGAGAGGAATGGAGGAAAGGAGGAGGAGGAGGAAGAGGAGAAGGAGGAGGAGGACGAGAAGGACGAGGAGGACGAGGAGGAGGAGGAGGAAGAGGAGGACAAGGAGGCGCCCCACCGCCGCTGGGCCAAGAGGCAAGATAGGGAGGACGGGGGGGAAGCCGAGAGGAGCGGAGGGGAAGCTGGGGGGAGCCAGGGAGACGCGGGAAGGTCAACGACCGGCTGCGGAGAGGCGACGAGGGCCTCCCTCTTTGGCGCCCATGCACGTGGCACCGCCGCTGCGTCGAAGACTCGGGCCTGCCCGCTGTAGGGCGATGACATCGGTACACATCCACTGCTCCTCCTCCTCCTCCTCCTCCTCCTCCTCCTCCCCCATCCTCCCTCCTCCACCCTCTCATCCTCCTACTCCTCCTCCTCCTCCTCCACCCTCCTCTCCTCCTCCTCCTCCTCGCCTCGTCCTCGTCCTCGTCCTCGTCCTCGTCCTCGTCCTCGTCCTCGTCCTCCTCCTCCTCCTCCTCACCTCCTCCTCCTCCTCCTCCTCCTCCTCCTCCTCCTCCTCCTCCTCCTCCTCCTCCTCCTCCTCCCCCCCCTCTGTCCCTGCCCGCGTGCGTGGCCAGCTCCAGGCGCGCCTGGCTGCCAGACACCTCCCCGAGCGTAGGCCCACCCTGAACCAAGCAGCGGTGTACACGCCACGCCCTCCTGGCTTGGCCAGGAGGGCGTATACACAGCTCATATGGGTTCATGATGGGCCTGGCCAGGGAGCAGCGGACGTGCATGGACTTCGTCGCCCGACGCTGTCGTGCATGCCAGCCGCGGGCCAGCTGCGACTGCAGCGCGTGCGGCAACCTGCCGGTGCTCGTTCTGCACGACTGCCGGCGGCGGGACTGTGTGCCGCGCGCCGCACGTCGCCCAGGCTGGCAAGGCCCCCGAGATTCCACAGCTGGCGGAACGGAGGGCCAGAGGGGAGAGACCGAAAGGGCGGGCGCGAGGACCGCAGGGCCTGCAGTGTGAACGCGCACGGGCGCGCGAGCTGAGTTACGCTGGGCAGCGCCGGGGTCAACTGGAGGAGGAGGAGAGGCAGGAGGAATGCTGGCATGATCGGCACAGGAGTCCTGAGGAAGACGGGCCCCTGGCCCGAGACCCCCGACGTTGTGATTTTTGTTCGCAGCGTCGACCCCCAAAAGTCGGGACCCCTTCCCCAGCACCAATTTCCATCCTGGGTCGTTTTGTTGACGGTCCCGAGGCCCGGATGCCCGGTAAGGATTTCCGAAGGCCGAAACTAGCGAAAAAAAATGCCCACCCAGGAGCCCGAATGTTTAGAAGCAGATCATATTACTACAGCCGATGTTTTGGGCGAGCTTCTCCCTCCTCGGCGGCCCACGCGGAGCGATGCACGCAGCACAGCGCTCAGAAGAAATGCTTACTGTACTGGCTAAAAGTGTTACAGGAGCGCAGTCAGCTACGCGGAGCTGCTCTCAAAAAGGCGGGTGCAGCTTGGGAACATATCAAGGCCGACCTCGACGAATTCATGCGGGCAACGCAAGACGCGTACCTCGCGCGGTTTGCACTTCTGCAACGAAAAACATCTCTAAATACAAACCGCGCCGAGAGCCATCGAATTACTCCCGGCGCGGGCTGTACACCCCATTGCTGAAGACCCCAGTGCAGATGGACCGCACTGTATAATCAAAGGACGCCTGCGCGCACAGGAGCATGTTCAAGCGCGTATGGTGTCGCACTCTCTATCCACCGGAAAGTCCATCGAGCCCACCGGCTCCCTGCTACCCCTTGGGCAACGGCTATGCACCAAAGCAGGTAGCATGGCTGCGGCTGCCGTGGTACGGAGAACTCGAAGCAAAGCGGGATCCGACAAGTTCGAACATCGCATCCAAGGAGACTGGTGCCAGCGCGAGGACCCCGAACAATGAACCAAATTTGACGTGTGGGGCAAAAACTGTGGGGTGCACTCGCTTGGGTGCAATAAACTGGATGCAGCCCATGAGGTGCAGTTAACAATGAAAAACTTGACATCGTCAACTCCACTGCTCATGCGAACATCCCAACCTCCCACGCGCAACTTATCCGCAATGCGCATCTTGCCATGATCTCAACGAGGACACGGGACAGTTTCGGGACTTTCCACGCCGCAGCAACATGACGCCAACATCACAATTTGTGGTGCCACCTTTTCCTGAACTCCCTTCCCCTCAGCCGACCCCCCCCCCCCTATCTTCCCTCCCCCAGACCCCCCTCCCCTTCACACCCCGGTGGCGAAAACGCACAGCAGCACAACTACATTTGGACGACCACCACAGCCACAACCACTGCTGTCCCCAGACCCCGACGTCATGATTTGATCACAACGTCGACCCCCAAAGGTCTGGACCCCTTCCCTGGGACCCGTTTTTCATCCTGGAGTCGTTTTTCCACGGCCCCGAGGCACGGTGAGGGCCCCCGGAGGCCGAAAATCAGGAAAAACCTCCCGTCGTGATTTCGTTCCCGACGCGAGGGGGTCTGGGTCTGCTCCGCGTGTCGGAGAGGCGCAGACGCGCGTCGCGACTCCGCCCCGGTCAGGCCTCCACGCCGCGTGTGGCCCTCGCGCAGGGGAAGTTGTGCACCGCTTCGCCGATCCCTATCCTTAAGTCGGGCCTCCTACAGGGGGATTTTCGACGAAAAATAAAAGATGCCCCCAAAATCATAAAAAGAATAATCCAAAAATAGTCTGGGACTATTTTTTGAATTTGTTTTGACCTTGTGGAGGTATGTGTGTTTTCTTTTATTTTTCGTCGAAAATCCCCATGTCGGGGGACACGCCCCACATAACCCTATCCCCGCCGGCATGGCCTGGGCCCCACTGGCCGATGTGCCCCCCCCCCCCAGGACGGGGAGAGAGGCTGCTCCCTTCGGGTTTCGGGGGGCACATCCCCAGCTGGGGTGGCGGGATGTGGGGTCGGGACGGGGATGGAGACCCAGGACCCCCGACGCCCTGAATTTTCCACAGCGTCGACCCTCAGAGGTCTCGACCCCCTCCCCAGGACGGGTTAACTCATCCTGGAGTCGTTTTCTGACGGCCCCGAGGCCCAGGGAGGGCCCCCGAAGGCCGAAGACTGAGGAAAACCTCCCGTCGTGATTCTTTCATTGCCCGAGGGGGTCTTCTGGACCCAGACCTCCTCGCGCTGTGAAAAAATCACGACGGGAGGTTTTTCATTATTTTCGGCCTCTGGGGACCCTTACCGGGCCTCGGGACCGTCAAGAAACGACTCAGAACGAAAAACCGGTCCCGGGGAAGGGGTCCAGACCTCTGGGGGTCGACGTTGTGAACAATCAACGACGTCGGGGGTCTGGGGATGGAGATGGGGACTGGGGAATGGGTCGAGACTTCCAGGGACCGCGCATTGGAAAAATCACGACGTCGGATCTCTAGGTCGCCGCTCTGGATGGGCGCAGCACGCTGGCCCTTGCGGCGCGGGAGCACCGCCGCCTAGCGCGAACAACACACACCCATACCTATGAGGAGGTCGGAGGGAGAAGGACTGGCTATGGGTATGGGTGCGGGTTGTCGGAACCCTGCGGAGGCTCCCGTTCGAGCGGGGACCCCCACCCGACAACACGCACCCATAGCTCATTCCGCCCCCCTATGGGTATGGGCGCGGGTTGATCGCTCGTCATTCATTGCCCGTGCGGGAGCTCCCGGGCGAAGTGAACCCACCCTCCCCCTCAGAAATCGTGGGGGGTGGGGTAGGGTTCGCATGTGGCCCCCTAGGGGACGGGGATCCCAGACCCCCGACGTCGTGATTTTTTCACGACGTCGACCCCCAGATGTCTGGACCCTTTCCCCGGGACCGGTTTTTCGTCCTGAGTCGTTTTTTGACGGTCCCGAAGCCCGGGAAGGGCCCCCAGAGGCCGAAAATAGCGAAAAACCTCCGTCGTGATTTTTTCATGACTCGAGGAGGTCTGTGGCCCCCCTAGGGGACGGGGATTGGTGCAGCGGTGCTGGGAAGCGGCAGGCCTCGCAGGCGGCCGCGCCCCCCTCTCCCCGGGCCCTTCACGCCCCGACCTCCCGGGCCCCCGGCGTGCGCTCCAGCCACTCCTTCTCGATGTCGGCCGAGGCCAGGGCCTGCGGGGCGGCTGGGCGCGAGGTCCTGGCCCAGACCCCCTCGAGTAGTGAAAAAATCACGACGGACGGTTTTTCCTCATTTTCGGCCTCCAGGGGCCTTTGCCGGGCCTCGGGGCCGTCAAAAAACGACTCAGGATGAGAAGCCGGTCCCAAGGAAGGGGTCGAAACCTCTGGGGGTCGACGTCATGCAAGAATCATGACGTCGGGGGTCTGGGGGGGACGATCGATTTATGTCGGGCGTGTTCCCCATACAGGGGGATTTTCGGCGAAAAATAATACATACGCCAAAAATGCCCGAAAATGGTCAAAAGATACCAAAGAAATAGTCCCCAGACTATTTTTGGACTATTGTTTGACTATTTTAGGGTATTTTTCATTTTTCATCGAAAATCCCCCTGTAGGGGGACAGGCCCGGCTTAACGACCGATCAAAGGGGGAAGAAGCCCAGACACGATCGCGTCGTAGAAAAGTCAGGGCGGGCCTCTTTTGGCCGTGATCGGCCTCGGAGGGCCCTTGCCGGGCCTCGGGACCATGAAAAAACGATGCAGGATGAGAGGCCGGTCCCGGGGAGGGGGCGGAACTCCCAGGGGCCCCACATGGAAAACATCGGAACGTCGCATGTCTGGCAAGGTACCCTGTTCGGGCCCTGAAAACCCCCTTCTGGGCCCGAGAAGGCCCCCTGTTCGGGCAGCCCCCGCTGCCCCACGTATCTATCGCCCACCCGCTCTGCGCGTCCTCCGGGGCGAGGTCATCTGGCCAAGGCCGGGCTACCAGCGTGGCAGCTGCACGGTCCGACGCGGACTCTGGCTTCTGCGACCCACAGTGCGCACAACATGAACTTCAGGAAAGCGCGAACCACACTTCCCAACATCTCAGGTACGCGAGCGTGTCGAGCGGCAGCGACACGACGAATTGCAGGAGAGCGCGAACCATAGTTTCTGGCAAATTCGTTTGGCAACCGGGCAATCCCAGCTACAATACCGAAATCGACCACACTGGTACCAAGAAGACCGTGAGCCCGTCTGCGGTCCGAGGGAGCGACGAATGGAGCGTGAAAGCACAGCAACAGACCGCGGCACCTCTACCCACTATCCCTATCCGTAAAATTGGCACGCCCAAAGGCGGTGACAACCTTCGAGATGCGCCCTCAGAAACTGAGGGAATCCTTAAGATCGGCGTCGGGATACGGTGATGACAATATCATGGATAGGGATGTGTTCCAAACAGGTTGCTTGTGCACTGCACGGAAACGACCGATGCAGCGAAACAGAGGGGAGATAGAGGGAGAGAGAGAGAGAGAGCGAGAAAAGGATAGCCACTACATATATATATGTACATATATATATATATATATATATTGTACACGTACAAATGTGTACATAGTTATGCGTACACACATGATCACATGATGTACGTGTTCATGTACACATATGTATGTGTGTATGTATATATATATATAAATAGAGAGAGATCGACATCTGAGGTTAAGAAAGAGAGACACCTATATATACACATAAAGAGAGGAGAGGTAGAGAAAGAGAGAGAGGGAGAGAAAGAGAAAGAGAAAGAGAAAGAGAGAAGCATGAGAGGCAGAGAAGAAAAGAGACGGTCTGGCTAGCTCCCCCTCGTTTTTGTTCCCCCCCGAAGCGACGAATCAGAAGACTGTCGAGCGCTTCCGCGCCGCGGATGTACTGATTGCGCACGCAACTGACGTCCGACATACACGCTCCAGCCGAATGACAAATCCCCAATTGGGGTAAGTGAAATCGAGAGGAAGGGCATGGACGCGAATGCGAAATATTCGACCAAGGACCAAGGGGAATACACACACATGCGAACTGGACAAAGCACGGGCATGCGTTACATCCAACTGACCTGGGATAGAAAACAAAACAGGCAGCATACGACTCAAACACGCACAAACACACACACAAACTCACATACACACATTCACACGCACACACACACACACACCCACACACACACACACTCACATCCACCCACGCACACACACGCACGCACGCTCGCGCACACACACACACACACAACCACTTTCTGGCGATCGCGGTCCCGCGCGCAGCGACGAGCCGATGAACATCAAGCAAAACGACTGGGACACCGCGCGCCACACTTACACACGCACACACACACATACACACCCACACACAAACACACACACACACACACACACACTTTTTGCGGCCGCGGCTCGCGCGCAGCGACGGGGCGAAAAAGTCAGATCTGGAGCGCGCGCGGCCATGCTGCAGGGGAATCGCGAAGATTCGGGCGACGCCATCAGCTGCAAACCATGCAGGCGTGGATGGCAAGGAGGAGACACGCTGCCGCGGCGCTGGACTTCCAACGGGGACGCAGCGCGAGAGCGTGGACAAGAGTACAACCATTTGGGCCTGGATGGCGAAGAGGAAACGCGCCGTCGAACACCAGAAACCCGCGGAGACAAGGCGCGGGCGGATGAAAGAAGAAACGTCGATGGGACAGTGACGACGCGGGCCACGGGCGAAACAAAACTGCGACCGCAGAGTGCCGGGCAGGTGTAATGCGCGGGAGGCCGCGCCTGCCGCCAGAAAGCGGGCACACCTTTGGACGTCGCGTCGCGGCAGAGGCAATCCGCACGCGCGCTCGGGCGGTCCGGGAAACGGAATCGCAAGTTGACCGGCTGGGCAGGGCAGGAGGGAGACATGCGAAACCGGCCGCGGGGGGGAGGAGTGGAGGGAGGGCGCTCACATGGCGAGGTGCGTCACCGCGGAGCGGCCAGCCAGTGCAACACCGCCTGGCCAGAAAAGCGGACACACACATACACACACACACACGCGCACACACAACACACACACACACTCTTACACTTTTGGCGGTCGCGGCCTCGCGCGCAGCGTCGAACCGAAGAAATCCACTGAACGGGCAGCGCGAGCGCGGCGCGCGGCTCAGAGCGCGCAAAGATCCGCACTGGATCAGGTGTGCCATGCGCATACCCAGGCGTGGGCAGCGAGGGCGCGGAGGGTGGCAGGGCGAAGCCCGGGCCGAGCGGCTGCGCAGCACGACGAGCGACGGGGGGGCACGAACGGCGGACGAAGCCGGGGTGGCAGCACGCAGCTGCCAGCCGGTGCGAGGCCGTGCGCGCCAGTGCGGGCGGCCGTGGGCACGAGCGCCACGGGGCTGCCGCGAGCGGAGCGGGGTGGGGTCGGAGAGCAGGGGCCTCCCGGATAGGGTCGGAGCAGACGGGGTCGGAGGATCGCGCCACGTGGCCGATGCGTCGGCGATGCATCGGCGATGCGCGGGCGATGCGGCGTCGACGTGGGCGATGCATCGGCCACGTCGACGTGAAGGAAATCGGGCTCCACATCGAGCCGCATCGGCGATGCATCGGCGATGCGGCGCGATCCTCCGATCCCATCGGCTCCGACCCCGTCCAGGAGGCCTGGAGCATCGCAGCGAAGGCCTGGACGTGGACGTGTCAGGAGGCCTTCAGGGCTGAACCTAAAGGGTGTTTTTCGTTTCCGTTTTGTCTTCGTTCTCCCTCGTTTTGTCTTCAATCCACCCCCACCGCAAAACGAAGTCGAAACGAAAACGGCCCACGCAATCTCCAACAAAAAACCGTTTAGGTCCAGCCCTGAGGCAGGCAGGAAAAGGGACAGGGGAGTGGCCTGCTGGCGGCGGGCGGGCTGCCCTGGAGCGGCCCGAGCCGCAGGCACAGGCACGCGGGGGGCGACGGGGAGACAGGAGGAGCGGGGAGGGCAGGACGGCGTGGCAGCAGTGGCCAGGCCCCCCTGGGCAGTGGATGGGGCACAGGGCAGGGGAGGGGCACACACACACACTCACACACACACACACACACAACACACACACACACAACACACACACACACACACAGTCACCCGGGCTGAACTTCGCCAGAGCCCCGTCCTCCTCCGCCTCCTTCTCCTCCTCCTCCTCCTTCTCCTTCTCCTTCTCCTTCTCCTTCTCCTCCTCCTCCTCCTCCTCCTCCCCCTCCTCCTCCTCCTCCTCCTCCTCCTCCTCCTCCTCCTCCTCCTCCTCCTCCTCCTCCTCCCCCTCCCCCTCCCCCTCCGCCTGGCTCCGCCTCCGCCTCCTCCTCCTCCTCCTCCTCCTCCTCCTCCTCCTCCTCCTCTCCCTCCTCCTAGATGGTACCCAGCATGCCTCCCAGACTTCCCAGGAGGGCCCAACAACACACACACACGCACACACACACACACGCACACACACACACAAACACACACACACACACATACATACACATACACACACGCAATACGCACACGTTTCTGGCGGTCGCGGCCTCGCGCGCAGACAAGGCGTCGAAACGTCGAGCACCATAACCGCGCGCAGCCCCCGAGCGCCGGACCTCTCCGACACGGGAGAGCCTCCGCCCCCGAGGCCGCCCGGGCGCGGACGGCCCGTGAGAGAATGCGAGACGCAGGGCGGCGAGAGAGCGACGAAACCGTGCGGGGAGGGCCCTGCCGAGCGAGAGCTGGGCTCGGGTCGGGCGAAAGGCGGGGATAGCAAAGGCGGGGGTTGAGAATCAGCTCACGCAGCTGATTTTCCTGGCGCTGGAGGCGGCTATGTACCGAGGAATGGGCCCCTCGGAGAGGCCGAACCCAGCTGCATGCAGCAAATTTCGTAACCCCCCCTTTCCCAATCCCCCCCTCTCGTCCGGCCCGATAGGCAGAAGAGGACGGCAGGCACGCGCGCTCGACCAGAGCGTGCGGGCTACAGCCGCAAAAGGAGGCCGGGAGAGAAGACGGCAGGGCACCGCCGGCGGGGGGGCGGAGGCCGGGCGGCGCCAGCGCGCCGTGGCGGAGGGCGCCCGCGGGGCCGACGCAGACACGGACATCAACACACACAGAGACACACATACACACATACACACACATACACACATACACACACATACACACATACACACATACACACACATACACACACATACACACACATACATACATACACACATACACACATACACACATACACACATACATACATACACACATACACGCATACACGCATACACACATACACGCATACACACATACACGCATACACACATACACACATACACACATACACACATACACACATACACAACACACACAGAGAAAAACACACACACAAACGAAACACACACACACAGGGGGGGCTGTGAGCGCCTTGGTCTCCGCCTGCCTGGCCGCGTTGGCGGCCGCCGCGGCCTTGTCCTTCGCGCGGTGTGCCCTCTTGACGGCCTGGGGGCTCCCGCCGACGGGGGCGGATCCTGGACGCTCCGATCGTTGATCAAAACACACACACACACCGTGGGTAAAAACACACACACACACACAAAAAAAAAACACGGTGGGTAAACAACACACACACAAAAAGCACACAACAAACATAAAAAAACACACAACACACACTGTGAGTAAAAACACACACACACAAAAACACACACACACACACAAACACACACACACAACACACACACACACTCGCACACAAAAACACACACACAAAACACACACACACACACAAACACACACACAGTGTGTGTGTGTGTGTGTGTGTTTTTGTGTGTGTGCTTACCCACAATGTGTTTTTTTGTCCCACAAGATCTTCCAACCCGGGTCAATCCAGACCCGGGTCAGCAGGACAGCAAAAAACTGCAATGCAGGGGCAAAAAACTGCAACGCAGGTCTTCGCAAACTGGGGTCAGCCAATATGCGCGGCCGCCTCGAGGCCACGAGCGGCTCGCTAACCCGGGTCAGCCAGAGGGGGTATTCGCAAGATCCTGCAGGATGCGGTGCCCTGGCTGACCCCCGTCTGCATTGACCCCCGTCTCTCAGGCTCCGAGTTGAGCAGGGACCGACCGTCCCGGTATTCCTCTAGGCCTGCTGCGACATGTTCTTGGCATCCGGAGATGCTCCAAGAACAAAAGCAGTGTTCTTAGAACGCAAAGCCGACGTGTGAAAACAGGGCGGTCTCAGCCAGAAATGCTCGAAGAACACTTCGTGAAGACCACAAACAAGTTCTTAGAACATCCTTTGGTAGGCCTATAGGCGAGCCAGGACGCTTCGCCAATGCTTGAGATCGGCTCCTCAGGCACACGCGACGCAAACCTCAGCGCCACATCCTGCAAGACACTCCCCGCGCATCGCACGGCACCGCACGCGTGGGCATCGGCTCTGAGGCCGGCCGCGCGGCCGGCGGGGCGGGCGCCGCGCAACCTCGCAAGACTGGCGGGCTTCTGACACTTCACCGCGCGGCACCCCGCGGGCAACGGGCTCGACACGGCACCGCACGGGTAGCCACCTGGGCAACGGGTTCGACACGGCACCGCACGGCGCCGCACGGGCACCATCCTGGCACAGAGTCCGCCTTGGAACCGCGCGGCGCCACTCGGGGCAAGAGATCCGACACGGCGCCACGCGGCACCGCGCTGCTCCACGCGGACGGCCGACGACTTCCACACGGCACCGCACGGCGCCTCACGATCAACGGCTCCCACACGGCGCTACAGAGCACCACTGCGCGCACCGCACGGCACCAAATGGCCAATGGCTTCGACACGGCGCCACACGGCACCGTGGTGGGGAGCGGATCCACGAGCTCGATCTGTTGCGTGGGGCCCTCACAGCACCATCGAGAATCCTTGCAAGTTTCGCAGTTTGGGGGGCACCAGCGCTGACCGTGGCAGTGCGCCATCAACGGGCAATTAGCAATAATTGCAGTCCCATGTCAATCACGGATTGTTCGAAAAATGCGGACGGGAACTCGAGTAACAGAGCAGCGTGAAGTACGCGGGCGTATACTGCGTCATATACAGAAGGAGCGAAAGGAGGGGCGAAACCATGGCGTCGCAAACATTATCCCCTTCCTTCTCCTCCTCCCCATCGTCCTCGTTCTCCGCCTCGTCCTCCTCCTCCTCCTCCTCCTCCTCCTTCTCCTCCTCCTCCTCCTCCATCCTCCTCCTCCTCCCCCTCCTCCTCCTCCTCCTCCCCCTCCTCCTCCTCCTCCTCCTCCTGCCCCTCCTCCTCCAATCCTCCCCCCCCCCTCGCCTCCTCCTCCTTCTACGTATCGTCCCCCTCCTCCTCCTGCTCCTGGTCGCCCGCCTTCTCCTCCTCCCCACATCGCCATCCCATCCCCATCCACGCCCTGCCCTCGTGCGCCTCGCCTCGCCCTCGCCCCCTCCCTCTCCCTCCTCCCGTCCTCCCGCTCCGCCCGCATGCCTCACTCCATCCTCTCCTCCTCCCCACCCCACCATCCTTCCTTCCCACCCCTCCTCCCTCCCTCCCTCCCCCTCCGGCCGCCACCCCAGTTCGAAGTTATATAGGCGCGGATGCCAGCGTGGAGCCCCGGGGGGGGGGGGGTGAAGGAGGTAGATCCGACAATTCTTGTAGACAAGAGAATCTGTGTGGTGCAATCTATGTTGTGCAATTGATTTTTACCCATGATGTGACACATCTCATGCTCTTGCAAACATCCCACCCACCCACCCGCAACTTGGTTTGCAAAACCTCTTAAGACCATGACGGTAGGTTCCAAATGGCACTTGGCAACGACACCGGCGCCGACGACGACGACGACAACGCCGACGACGACTACGACGACACCGACGACGGCTCCGACGACTTCGACGACGACGACGACGACAACGACGACGACAACGATGACGACGACGACGACAACGACGACAACGCCGACGACGCCGACGCCGACGACGCCGACGATGACAACGACGACGACGATGACGACGCCGACGACGACGACGACAATGACGGCACCGCACCGACGACGACGACGACGTCAACGACGCCGACGACGACGGCGGCGACGACGACGACGCCGACGTCGACGACGACGAAGACGACGACGACGCCGACGCCGACGACGAAGACGACGACGACGTCGCCAACGAAGACTACGACGAGGGAGGAGGGACGACGACGACGGCGACAACGACGACAACGACGACAACGACGAGGGAGGAGCGAGGACGGCGACGACGCGAACGACGCGAACGACGAAGAAGGAGGAAGGACGGCGACGCCGACGACGACAACGACGAGGGAGGAGGGAAGACGACGACGACGACGACAACGACGACGACGACGACGACGACGGCACGAAATAGGAGGGACGACGACGAGACGCCGACGACGGACGACGACGACGACGAGGGAGGAGGAGGAAGGACGACCACGGCGACAACGACGACGGAAACGACCACGACGCCAAAGAGGACGACGACGACGAACACGAGGAAAGACAGAGGACGACGTAGGCGACGACGACGACGACGACGACGCGGGAGGAGGGAGGATGGCGACGACGACGACGACGCAAGAGCGCGCGCGCTCGCTTTTGTTGAAAATCCGTGTTGCGAAACCTTGTGTTTTTGTAAGTTTTTTGGACTCGATTTTAAAATCCTTGCGAAACCGATGGGTTTTGAAGGATTTCGGCATATGCGCGCGACAACGCGCGCGTCTGCACTTCGTCCCGATTTTTGCAGAGGATTCTCGCGACGTCACACACGCAAGGGCGTTCGACAGATTTCGACATGCGCGCGCGAAGCCCGTTTGGTAGCATTTTGTACGAATCTTGAAAAACCGATGGTTTTCTTAAGATTTCGCAAGAGCTCGCGCGTAAGCTTTTTTAGCAAATCAGTGTTGCGAAACCCTTTCTTTTTGGATGCTTTTGGGAAGCTCGATTGCGAAATCCTTCCGGCACCGAGGGTTTTTGGAGGATTTCGGCATGCGCGCGCGACGGCGCGCGCGTGTGCACTTCGTCAATTTTTTTTGCAAAGGGATTCGCGAAAAAGCGTTATGTTAGAACAAACGATGTCCCCGCGTATCGTTTTTTACCAGGGAACCTCAGGGGGGTCGATACCGGCCCCCCGGGGATAGTGTAAATTCATACTTAGGATGGACATGTGGTCATAATCATACACGATTTACATACCCGAAAGGGGGACCGATAACGCCGGGGGGGGTAGAGTCCATTCTCTTTTTAGGAAAGAAAATTAAGCGGCGACGGGGGGGGCGGTGATGAGGCGGCGACGGCCAGCACGGAGCCGCCAGACCGCCACCCAGGCCCAGACGACGGGCGGCGACAAAGCGGTGACGGCGAGCACAGAACCGCCAGACCGCCACCCAGGCCCAGTTCCTCAGAACAGAAATAATACCCCCTAAGTGCAAGCACTGTTGTTACATCATATACATATCTAGTATATTGCAGACCGCTCGCCTGTCTGGGAGGCTTCAGCGTCTGCGCGGCGTTGCCACATCTCCAGGCAAGCTCCACTACACGCTCACATCACTGAACGGTGCAGTCTTCCCTCTCGATCGCCCCCAACCCCACAAAACCTTCTCCCCCCCCCCTGCCAGTCCATGGGGGAGCTCACCCGTTGCATTTGGCCTGCACGCGCGGTTCACGTACTGCCGCATGCGGCTCACGCTCCCTGCTGCGATCACGCATCGGACGTACAGCCAAAAACCCTAATGAGGACGCGCGGTAAGGACGCAGGACCCTTGGAAGCCGAAGTTGGGAGTTCTGGGGCGGCGGACGACGAACACCTCAAGGACGCAAGAGCAAGGAAGAGCAAGGACGCAAGGGTACCCTGAGCAAAGCCGCGCGTCCTTATTGGGGTTCTTGACTGTATGTCTTGCGTTCCCTCGCCGAGCGCAGCACGCTGGCCCTCCGGCCCCGCCGGGCGAGGCCCGCCGGGGCCTTGGCGCGGTCCGAGGCCAGCTGCTTCGCCACCTTCATCTCTGCGGCGCGCCTGGCCGCTGCCTCGGCGCGTCTTCGGGCGCACTCCTCGACGCTCGCCGACCCAGGACCACTGCCCAGACCCCCCGACGTGGTGAAAAAATCACGACGGGAGGTTTTTGGTCGTTGTCGGCCTCCAGGGGCCCCCACCGGGCCCCGGGACCGTCAAAAAAACTACTCAGGATGAAAAACTGGTCCCGGGGAGGGGGTCCAGACCTGGGGGGTCGACGGCATGACAAAAATCACGACGTCGGGGGTCTGGGACTCAAAGCTCGCAGACCCAAGACCAGTACGAGAAAGCTGGGAGCAGAAGCAAATCGTGAAACGGAGCGCAGTGCAGGTGGTTGGGGCATGACAGAACGAGGGGACTCGAAATATCCGATTGGACGAGAGGGCACGTGAAAGCGTGAATGGGGCCAGTCTCATGCAGCCTGACGCAAGCTATGACAGCGTCGGCGCTGACGGAAAGCAAGACACCTACCCTCACGAGCAGGGCAGCGTACTGCTGTCGCCAGTGGCGTATCCACGTTGTGGCGAACCCCTCGAGAACAACGGCTTCGTGCAAATCAAGGGGCCTGGGACACACAAATAAATACACGACGGCCCAAGAGGCCCCCAAGACCGCTCCAAGACGGCCCACGAGGCTCCCAAGACGGCCCCGGAACGGCCCAGGAGGGCCCCCAAGACGGCCCAAGTGCCGCCCAAGACGGACCAAGAGGCCCCAAGACGGGCCCAAGAGGGGCTCAAGAGGGGAACCGAGAACTGAAAAATCGAGCCCTCCGCCCCAGAAGGCGCCCAGGAGGCCCCAAAAAGGCCCCAAGAGGCCCCCAAGAGGCCCCCAAGACGCCCCAAGAGGCGCCCAAGAGGCCCAAAAGAGGCCCCAAGAGGCCCCAAAACGGCCCCCAAAACTCGGCTAGCCCACAACGGTGCGACAATATGGGCCGGCGGAATGAGCGAAGCGATTAAATAATATACTTGACTGCTGGAAGTACCCCGTTGGAGTACAGCTGTCTGTCTGAGACTCCTCAGCCCTACCAAAACACCTCTCTGGACTTCAACGCCGCTGTTGCCATCGTTGGGTGGATTTGGAAGCCTCTCGAAATATCTCGTGTTCACCTCGGCTACTCTTTCTCCCTCCTCCGCTTCCTCTGGAAATGCACCATCCTACGACTCCAGCGGGGGCGTAAATGTAGACGACGATATGCGTTTGTAGACGACGGTTCGCCATCATTCGTCTTTCGCGCCCTTCCTTCTCCTCTCTTCTTACGGATAATGCTCAGCATCCCCGTCCCATTAGGAATGCCCCCTCGCCCTCCTGATGCGACTCCTCCTCCTCCTCCTCCTCCTCCTCCTCCTCATGTTACTCCTCCTACTCCTCCTCCTCTTCCTCCTCCTCCTTCTCCTCGTAATCCTCCTCCTCCTCCTCCTCCTTCTTCTCCTCTTCTTTGGAGGATCTCTGTGACGCATATTGGTGTCTCGAGGGTGTCCCCGATATCCGGATGAATATCACCAGAACACCTCTCTGGGAACATCGTGTCGGGTGTGGACACGTGGCCACTTAGAAGCTTGTTGGTGTCTCTTGGGGGGCCTCTCGGCAGTCCTTTTGGGAAGCATGTCGGGGGTCTCTGGGGGCCTCTAAGGGGCCTCCGGGAGCATCTGGGTAGCGCTTTGGAGGCTTCTTGGCGGCCGCTTGGGGGTCATCTGGAGGTGTGGTCGTTTCGGAGTTCCTTTCGAGGGTGTCTAGAGGGCGTCTGGGGCTCTCTTGAGGCGCCTGGTGGGCTGCCTTGGGGTGCTCTTCGGCTGTCTTGGGCGCTCCCATGGGCGTCTTTGGTCCCTCGCGGGGCCTCTTGGGCAGGTCTTGCGGCCCTATTGGGCCGTCTTGGGCGCCTCTTCGGCAGTCCTGAAGCCCTCTTGGGCTGTCTTGGGGCCCTTTTGAGCGCCCTCTTGTAGCGATCGGGGTGCCTCTTGGGCCGTCTTGGACACCGCGAAAATGAATGAAATGCACATGGTTAACATTATATATTTTCCTCCGGGATTGGGGCAATGTTTGGCTCTGTGGTGCCCTCTTGGGGTGCTCTTGGGGCTCTCTTGAGGCGTCTCGGGGGCCTCTGATGCCGTCTTCGGTAAATCATGGGGGTCTTGGGGGTCTCATGGCGTCGCTTCTAGCACGCCTGCGGCTAGCTTCACCCACCTTCAGGCTGAAATCTCTGTCCTGGATGCCCAAAACGGCCTTGGCACCCCAGGAGCCGAATTCGGTTACGGGGGTGGGGGGGGGGAGGTTGGAAGAAGTGTGCCACCCCGTGCCCTAGGCGCTCGGACGCCGCTTATATATATGTATATATACATATATATACATATATATAGAATTATATATATATATAGAGAGAGAGATATAGATATACAGATGTATGTATGTATTCCTCTTATTATATGTTTACAAGCCCGGGCGGGGGGAAAACCCCTCACCTCCCCCCCAAAAAAAACCAGACTCCCGGGATCTGGGGCTTTGGGACCTTCCAGAGGGGCCTCGAAGCGGCCCCCCGGGCCTCGCAGGGCGTTTTGCCAAGCCTTCCCAGCACACCTAGGGCGATCAGGGGGGTCTCTTTTTTCGGTTTCCCGACGCACGGCGGTCTTCTGGGCGTCCGAAGCCGCCTGGGAGGCTCCCAAATCGCCCCACAACCATCCGAAAGGGCTTCCAGGCAGTCCAAGAGAGCCCCAACGGCACAACACGGATCCAAGATGGCCCTCAGCGAGCCCCATGGCGGCCCAAGATGGCCCCAAGACACCCTCCGAAGCATTCCAAATCGTGACCTGGTCGTTCAGGGAGACCGCGGTTGGAGGCAGGGTGGCCCGAGGAAGCCCCCAGAGGCCCCCAGAATACGCCCAGGAGGCCAGAAGGCCGTAAGAAAGCCTGAAACAACTTTTGTGAGGCCCCCAGAGGCTCTCCCAGGCGGAGCCTCCGCAAAAAAGAGCTGAGGAGGATGGGGAGAATGCGCAAGGTATGGCGAAAATTAAGAAAAAGAAGCACGGAGGAAAGATGACGAATAACATTATCATAGCGGCGATGCCGGAAAAGGCAACAAGGAGTTATCGCTAAATTGTCGGTTTGACCTTCATGCTATTCCGCCTGCATACCAAACTTCAAGGACCAAGGTGCATGGCGCGAAGCGCCACTGCAGTCTTGTATAATCTATATATATATATATATATATACATATGTATGCATATGTATACATACATACATACATACATACATACATACATACATACATACATACATACATACATACATACATACATACATACATACATATATCCATCCATCCATACATCCATCCATCCATCCATACAGACAGACAGACAGACAGACAGACATGCATGCATGCATGCACACATACATTCATATTATCATCCTGTATGTATAGACATATGCTTTACAGACGCGCATTTTCCACTCCATGGATTGCATCACGTAGCTCGCATACCATGGACCTCAGACAATGCACATCGAAAGTGCCACATAAACGGACTGCACCACAGACGCTGGACATCGAGTGCAGCAACCGCTGTTTAGGCGTCGTTTTCGGGAACGTATTCGGCAACGCGCGGCCCCAAAAGCATTCGGCTTTTTCGCCCAAGCGCGTTTCTTGACGGCCCCGGGGGCCCAAAAACGGACCCCTGGAGGCCGAAATCGCAAGGGAATGCCGACACCACGGAAAATGTCAACGCCACAAGCCCAGGCTGGGGGCGTCTGGGCCTGCACATCCGCTGGCATGTGCGGAGGCAATTGCGGTTCCGCGGCCTCGCGACCGGAGGGGGGGCGCACAGAGTTACCTGGCCAGGGCAGGGCCGGAAGAGGAGGATGAGAGAGGACGGGGGGGGATGAGGAGGAGGACCAGTGCAAATCCAAAGCGCATCAACGATGTTGCAATAAAGCGTCCATCAACGATGTTGCAATCAACCAGCTATCCAAGTTCACTCTTCACGTCCCTGCAATAATATATATATATATATATATATATACTGCTGGAAGTACCCCGTTGGAGGACAGCTGTCTGTCTGAGACTCCTCAACCCTATCAGAACACCACTCTCTGGACTTCAACGCCGCTGTTGCCATCGTTGGGTGGATTTGGAAACCTCTCGAAATATCTCGTGTTCACCTCGGCTACTCTTTCTTCCTCCTCCGCTTCCTCTGGAAACGCACCATCCTACGACTCCAGCGGGGGCGTAAATGTAGACGACGATATGCGTTTGTAGACGACGGTTCGCCATCATTCGTCTTTCGCGCCCTTCCTTCTCCTCTCTTCTTACGGATAATGCTCAGCATCCCCGTCCCCTTAGGAATGCCCCCTCACCCTCCTGATGCCACTCCTCCTCCTCCTCCTCCTCTTCCTCCTCCTTCTCCTGTTCCTTCTCCTCCTCCTCCTCCTCCTCCTCTTCCTGCTCCTCCTTCTCCTCATTCTCGTCATCCTCCTCCTCCTCCTTCTCCTCTTCTTTGGGGGATCTCTGTGACGCATATTGGTGTCTCGAGTGTGTCCCCGATATCCGGATGAATATCACCAGAAAACCTCTCTGGGAACATCATGTCGGGTGTGGAGACGTGGCCACTTACACTTGGAAGCTTGTTGGGGTCTCTTGGGAGGCCTCTCGGCAGCCTTTTGGGAAGCATGTCGGGGGTCTCTGGGGGCCTCTAAGGGGCCTCCGGAAGCATCTGGGTAGCGCTTTGGAGGCTTCTTGGCGGCCGCTTGGGGGTCATCTGGAGGTGTGGTCGTTTCGGAGTTCCTTTCGAGGGTGTCTTGAGGGCGTCTGGGGCTCTCTTGAGGCGCCTGGTGGGCTGCCTTGGGGTGCTCTTCGGCTGTCTTGGGCGCTCCCATGGGCGTCTTTGGTCCCTCGCGGGTCCTCTTGGGGGGGTCTTGCGGCCCTCTTGGGCCGTCTTGGGCGCCTCTTCGGCAGTCCTGAAGACCTCTTGGGCTGTCTTGGGGCCCTTTTGAGCGCCCTCTTGTAGCGATCGGGGTGCCTCTT